CCTGAGGAGGAGTAGAGAAAGGAAAAAAAAAGAAGAGGTTAAAAAAACAATTTGCAACACATACATATAACCAACAACTACGAACATGATTTTAAACTGCATGAATTACAAACATGAATCATATCTTAAGCAGTTAATAACAGCAAATGGAAGTTGAAGTATGGTATCTATTTTCCTCTTTGATAATCCCTTAAAAACATTAATCACTGGTTATACTCCACACAAATCAGTGATATTACCCAATTCCAAACTCTGAACAATGCTTTATGAGACAGGAGGAAGCAATTATAACACATCTCTAAGATCACACTGATATGTAGTTAATAGTTGAATTTCTGGTTTTAAAGTAAAAGTTTAGACCACTCAACCCACTTTAATCATCCTAGTCAATATTCAAACACTTGAATGTCTGGGCTGCTATAGGATTCCCCTTTCTTACCTGTACATAGTGCTTAATCATCATCCAAATTGCGAGCACGAGCTGTCTGAAGCTCCACTGCATTCAGTGTAGGTCTTCAGAGTGCCACATGGTTGCTGTTACACACCACATGCCTACTACATTGTACAATTATGACATCACAATGAAAAATTCAACCAATATTACCTCTTTGTAATCAAAGTGGATGCTTCAAGAGGTCCAACTAAATATGGATCAGCTCATTTCCTTAGACTGAAGTCTAAGTTGGGTTTAGTATCTCAGTGTGCTCAGGATGCTAAAACAATCGACCATATCCTGGGTGCCTAGCAAACAACTGAGGTATAATTGTCACTGTTGTGAGGGTGAAATCTGAGTCAAGATTTCTACAAGTTCAGTGCCTTATAAGGGCTTGTTTTCCAGTTGATGTCTCTTCATGGTTTATTAAAAAGATAAAAAGAAAAAAAAGATCTCTGAAGTCTTTTTGAAAAGGGTGCTAATACCCAACACATGGGTGACATCTTTATACCCTAGTCATATATCAGGTTCCCAAATCCTACTATCATCTGGTGGGTGAGAATGTGAGCATATGAATTTTAGGAGGAAACAATCATGCTACAGAATTTCATCTGTGGTTCCCAGAAAATCATTTGCATCTTCCATGAAAAATAGATTAATTTCTTTTCGGTAAACTCAAAAGTCTTATCTCGCCTATGCATCAACTAAAGAGTCTAAAATACATAAACATCATCTAATTCAGCTACAGGTGAGATACAAAGTGAAAATTATTTGGGGATTAATGGCTCTCCAGCTGTTAACCTATTAAAGCAAACATGCCATGAACTTCCAAAATACCTTAATTCCAAAAGGGAGAACTATGAAAGGGACAAGGACTCAGTGCAATAGGAAAAGTACAATAAAACTCAGTGTAGAGGCTAGTGTCCTTGGCTAGCTGTTCTGGACTCTACTCTCCTGGTATTTCAAGCTTAATTTCCAGACAGATTTGGGTATTCACCCCACATTCTGGACACACTGAGATGGAGTTTCCTACAATTATTGACAACTCCATAGCAGTAATGTGTCTTGGACTCTTGCTTGAGTTTGCCTCCGACTTCAATCACATGTTATGGGGCTCCCAGAGTGGGAGTCCTGACCCATGACTCCAATAGCCATGTGACCAGCAAGGCTTCTCCATGGTGGCCCAATGCTCATGGAGCTCCTGCATTCTGGGCCTGTGATGGAAAGGCAGCCTTGACATTCTGTGGATTCCCTTCAGGGTCCTTCTTCTGGTGTGTGGCACATTGGGCCCTGGCTTGTCTTTACGTGGCAGATTAATCAATCTCCTTATCAAATAGAAGTTTTGCTATAACTTTCCTGTTTTTTCCAGAACAGATTCTCTTCCTCTTTTCAATATGAAATGCCTGAGATTATTTCTAATCTTTCTTTTTCTCCTCTGCTAGTGATCAATTCCATCTTTATCTGATTTCTCTCTTCCTGCATTTTAATAGCAGGAGTCAAGAGAAGCCAAATAATACCTCCATCACATTCCTTGGGTATTTCTTCAGTCAAATATCCAACTTTACCCTCCAAAATTATACCTTCTACCAAACATTAGTACACAAACAGAATTTAGCCAAGATCTCTGACAATTTAAAATGAGAAGGAACAAATATTTTTATTTTGGTCTGAGATGTGATCCTAATGGCCCTCACCGTACATCTTTCTGTCACATTATCTTCAGGATATCTTAGGCATTCATCTCTAAGTAGATTCATTTATTATAGCTCTCCTATTTTCTTTTTCTTTTTCACTTAAAAAATTTATTGAGAAACAAATATCAATGAGACAAGTTCCAAGCTGATTATTAGGACATTTTCAATATCTAAAGCATTGTACATTGTTATCTTCTCAGTGATCATCCACAGCACAAGAAGCAGCCAGGACACCCTGTCCAAACACTGCTAACACAAATCCTTCCTCTCAATAAACCAAGCGAAAGCAGGCCTACATCTATCCTAAATACTCTCTATACACAAAAACAAAATGGACCTTCCTCTGTATCCCCCCTCTCCAGGTCAACACTGTCAGAGATGGGTAATCTACTGGCATCTAAATATTACAGGTGCTTGATTTCAGCAAAACAATCCAACACAGTCCAATAGTCCACAATAGTAGGTGTTTGTCCGCATAAGTTGTTGACTAGAGCCATTTATACCTCAGCATATGAATATGGCTTTACTTTATATATGTCACTTTTATACTTTTCTGATGGATGGTTAAGACCAAGATAAAGCAAGACTTATATAACAAGAAATGTAACTTTTGTATCTGATAAGGTCAGTCAAGTCTCCTCAGGATTTATCCTGTAACTGCATACCGCACTTTGTAGATCATTTGTCAGTGTCAGGCATGTGGATGAGTCACGCCCAAAGCTTCACCAATTTGCTCTTTCTGAAAGCCTGAGAGAAAGTTTTCTCTCCATGTGATTCAGCTTAGCCACACTATACATCATCAATCACACTCCTCTGTGGCTCCATAATCTCATTGATTAGAAAATGTGGGGCACAACTGAGTTACATGATGTTACAGTATGTGTCCTCCTATGTCCTGAGTCTTCACTGAACTTGAAAGACTAAGGTCAAAATGTTCACCTACCTTGCAGCCCTTCCTTTTTTATGTGGTACAGGGTTTCACTACACACCTCAGACTCTAGGAGGCTGTTTTCATCTTCTTCAGGGCTAGGATTACAGACATGCACCACCATGCTCAGTCTCATTTGCCATCTCAGTGTGCCCATGGGTGTGGCTAGCATGGCATATGGTGCCAGGGATTGAATCCCAGTCCATTCCCTTGCCTAAGCCGGTGCTCAATCCACTGAGTGAGCTCACCAGCCCCATCCTTTTTTCTTTGAGAGCTCTCACCTGAATCATTCTTAGTAATCTATTCAAGGTAATATAGGCTTTTTCTAACATGAAGTTTCTCAAAATTGTTCTAGCCTCCAACAATACTCAGCTCAGAAACTACTTCCATATTTTTAGATATTTGTAATATATCAGTACCTCAACTTGTCAATATTAATTTCCTTTCTTAATCTGTTCAGGTTGATAAAAGCATACTGAGTGACTGATATAAGTGAGAAAATATTCTCACATTCTTGCAGCATGTGAAATCCAAGATCAAGATGTCAATTGTCTCACTATTTTATAATGCTATGTATTTTCCTATACAGATGGCATCGTTTTTCTATATCCTCATGTAGTAGCATGAACAAACATGCTCTCTGAAAACTTTTTTATGAGAGATTTAAGCTCAAAGCCTACTTGCATGATACTACTCACCTAACAAAATTACCCCTTCCTGATACAATCACCTTGAGTGTTAGGAATTCAACATATAAATTTGAGGAAGTTTTGCAAGTGTTTAGATGGCAGTAATTGAAAAGCTAGAATATTTGTATCTTTGGTTCTGCATGGTGACATCCTAAGAAGAACAATTTATTTATTCAATCCTTCAGTTTTTAAAATGTGTTTAGTACAGGGTTTATAGAGTCTCATTACACAGATTGAATTTGTAGTGTTCATCCTGTTTCTAATCTCCCAAGTTCTGGGATGAGAGGCACAAGAACCACACTCAGTGTCAATCGCCAGTTTCAGTGTGAACTGGGGCAGGGATAGCATGGCACAGTGGGAATCGAATGCCAGTCTCTGCTCCTTCTTAATCAAGTGCTTCAGTCTGCTGAACTATTTGATCAGGCAACAACAACAACAACAAAAACAAATCAACACAAAAACCTAGGCCTAAAGGTACCATTTGACATTTGATAAATTCTTAGAAGAATTGAAAGATATAAAAACATCAGAGCAATATATGTACATCCATGTTTTTAGTGGCAAAATTTGTAACAGCTAAATCTTGGAAAAATACTCAAATGCCCATCAAGAAATGAATGGATAAATGGATGTGAATTTTTATATGAAGAATTATTACTCAACCAAGAAGAAATGTAAAATTCAGACATTTGTAGTTTAACGGATGGACTCAGAAACCATAATTATAAGTACAATAAACCAAACATGCATGTATAATAGGATATTATTTCTTTGATTCAAGAATCTGAAAATATAAGAATGTAAATGAATACCAGATATTGTGGAATACGAAGTAACTTCAAAAGGAGAGGAAAATAAGGATGGGAGAGGAAAGAGCAAAAGAGAAAGAAAAAACTAAAAAAAAAAAAAAAATGAAAAAATGAAACCTGATCATTGTGAATGAGGAGGGGAAAGTGATATGAAAAAAGTGAATAGGAGAAGTAGAAAATGTAGATTCAAAGTATGTCATGAGGAAGATAAAATTTCCCCATAATGAATGTGATCATTATGCATACATAAAATGTATCAGTAAATGTATTTTTTTTAAAACTCATGCACTGCATGCAAGTAGGCTTGGTTCCAGAAATTCAATGATTGTTCAATATATGTAAGATAATTCATACATGAAACTCTTAAGTAGGATCAACAACAAAAGCTCCATGAGACATCCAGGCCAAGCCCAAGACCAGAGACTGTGTAGAAGAGCTTCAGGCTACCTTGCATCCTCGGGAGTTCTCCGATACAGATCCAGGCACACTACGTGAGTGAGACATTCTGCCAAGCCATTGGGACACCCATAGCACAAAGGAGCAAATCCGACGCACACCAAATGAGTGAGAAATTCTGACCTGTTGTCTAGAAACACAGATCCAGCCATGCGCAGACACGGGGAGTGTGTGGGAGAGCTTCTGTACTCCCCTAAGCCACTGGACCTCTCCAGATACAGCCCAGACCTGGCATAAAGGCCTGAGTTGAAACTCTGCAGCTGAAATCCCTGCTGAAAAAGTGGGGGACAGGACCAGTCAGCTAGTCCACGACCAGAACATCTGCCCAAAGGGACACAAAAGGTTCACTCCTAAAGGATGCAGTAGGAATCTGCTGAGCACAGCAGCCACACATAAGCAAGGCACAACCAGATAAATTCAAACTTTGCAGATCTGCCCGCAAAGTTCACTAAGTGCTAAGTTTATAACTGCACCAAAGCTCTACAACAAAGGTCAAAGGACCGTGGTACACAAAATGAAAAGAGAAGATACAAAATGCATTCTCAGGACCCAAGGCAACCACAACACGTGCAGAGGACACTAGCACAGAACAAATTGAAAATCACACAGATGAAATAAATGAATCAATAGTGTCTGAACTGAAGAAACAACTGCAGAAACGTATAGAGGAACTCAGATCTGAAATCACAAAAGAAATCTCAGAATTAATAGCATCTGAAGTAAAGAATCAAATGCAGAAGTATATAGAGGAAACCCAATCTGATAAACACTCTTCAGTCACAGAATTAGTAACTGCATCTACAGAAGACATTGATAAAAAAATCCATGAGATTAGAAAAAGGACAGAATACTTGAATGAGCAAACAGGAAGGAAATATATTGCATGAAGCAGAGTCAAAGAGATATAGAGGAACTCAAAATCTGAATCACAAGCTTGGAAACCATTTAAGTGAAAGTGAAGACAGAGTTTCAGATCTTGAAGATGCTAGTGCACCTAGAAAGAAAGTAAGAAATGATCTCTTAAACACAACTGGGATGCAGGAAAATATAATTCATCACCTGCAAGACGATGCAAAGATGAACAATGTGAGACTAATAGGCATCAATGAGAAAGGAGTAGTCAAGACATATGATATTAAAAAAAATGGGTGGGAGAGAGTTTCTGCTCTGTCCTGTGCCAGCTCGCCGCTCCAGGCCCAGGGCCACCGCATGAGAGAGTCACTTCTCTGCGTTCTCCAGATCACTCCAGACCACCCCCGCCCAACCAGATCCAGCACAGCTTGCCGTCTGAGTAAGAACTGCTGCTGCGCTCTTGGGAGTCCTGCAGACCCACCAAAACACAACACTGGTGAGTGTGTGGGAGAGCTTCTGGGCTCTCTCGCCCTGCTTCTCATACCCCTCCAGACCCAGCCCAGACCTTGCATACAGGCTTGAGGTAAAACCCTGCAGGTAAAGTCACCACAGTGAGAGACTAGGGTCAAATCCACACAGCTAATCCAGGAACCAATCTTCTTACCAGAGGTGTACAGCAAGCCCACCTCCAAGGGCAACAACAGTAATGAGCTAAGCACAGTAGCCTAACCCAAGCCAGGCACAACTGCATGAACAGTACTTGGTATATCAGTACCTGAATTTCATTAAGTGATAACATAATTGCACCAAAGCCCTATACCAAGGGCCACAGGTCCATGTTAAATGAAATGATAAAGACAAGGAGCAAAATGCAATCTCAGGTCTCAAGCCCACCCATAACAAGTGCAGAGGACACTATCTCAGCTGAAATAAATAAACAAATAGCATCGGAAGTAAATAAACAAGAGCAGGAAGAGATAGAGTAACTCAGAGCAGAATCGATTTCTGGAATTAAAAAAAAAGAAAAGAAAACTCTGAATTTATAGCAGCTGAACTTAAGAATCAAAGGCAGAAACATATGGAGGAAACAAAATGCCCAACCAGAACAAATGCAGTGGACACTGGCTTAGCTGAAATACATGAATTAATAGCGTCAGAAGTAAATAAGCAACTACAGAAAGGTTTAAAGGAACTCAAAGCAGAATTATTGTCTGAAATGAAAAAAGAAATTTCTAAACCCATAGCCCCTGAACTAAAGAATCAAATACAGAAACATACAGAAGAAAACCAATCTGTTAAAAACTCTGCAGTAAAAGATTTAATAACTGCTTCTAAAGAAGACATTGATTAAAAAAATACAGGAAAATAAAAAAAATGATGGATTCCTTGAATGAGCAACACAGAAAAGAAATAGATTGCATGAAGCAGAGTCAAAGAGATGTAGGGGATGTTAAAATCTCAATTACAAGCCTAAAAAACCATTTGAGCAAAAGTGAAGATAGAGTTTCATATCTTGAAGATGCTGGTGTAGCTAGAGAAAATGTAAGAAAGGAACTCTTAAAAACAACTAGGATGCAGGAAAAAATAATTCACCACCTGCAAGACAATGCAAAGGTGAACAGTCTAAGACTAATAGGCATCAATGAGAATGAAGGAGTCAATACAAATGATATAAAAAAAATATGGGCAGAAGTAATAGCAGAAAACTTCCCAAATATGAGGAAACCATCTGATAATCATGTAACTGAAGCATACGGAACTCCAAATAACTTCAACCCAATTAAAAACACACTGAGACATATAGTAGTCAAGATCCCAGAAATCCAACACAAGAATATCATACTGAAAGCTGCTAGAGAAAAGAAGTAGATCACAATCAAAGGAAAACCCATCAGAATTACGGCCGACTTCACTTCACAAACCATGAAGGCAGAAGAGCATGCAGCAGAGTACTTCAAGTCCTCTAGGAAAATAAATTCCAACCTAGACTTCTATACCCTGCAAAGCTCTCTTTCAAGTTTGATGGAGAAGTGAAATACTTTCATGACAAGGAAAAACTAAAGAATTTCATGATGGCAAAACCAACCCTACACAGACTACGGAAAGATGTTCTAGAGAGGGACCAAAATGATCAGAACTCCACCAATGAGAACAGAAGAAACCCATTAAACAGGACAAACAAACACAGGAGAAAAACAGTTTAAAAACAGCATTCAAATAACATGTCAATCATAAGTCAACACATCTCAATTATAGCTATCAATGTAGATGGACTCAATTCACCAATTAAGAGAAATAGATTGGCACAGTGGATTAGGAAACAAAACCCAGCAATATGTTGCATACCAGAAACATATTTAACTCATAAAGAAACTCACAGGCTGAAAGTCAAAGGATGGAAAACAATACTAACGTAGTATTTTTTGCCCCAGTACTTCAGAAAAAAAAGCAGGGATAGCAATTCTATTCTCAGTCAGTCTCAACTTCAAACCAAGAATGATCAAATGAAACAAAGAAGGCCACTATATACTAGTTAGAGGAAAAATTCAAGAGGAAAAAATAACAATCATGAATATGTAGGCACCAAACATGGGAGCACCCAACTATATAAGACAAACTTTAATAGACATGAAAAGTCTAATATCCAATACAACAGTCTTAACAGGAGACCTTAACACCCTCTTATCCCAAATAGATAGATCAACCAGACAAAAAATTAACAAAGAAGTAGCACAACTGAATCAGATCTTGGAACAAATGCACTTGGTGGACATACACAGAGTGTTCCACCCAACCACAGTGAAATACACATTTTTTCAGCTGCACTCAAACCATTTTCCAAAATAGATCACATTCTAGTACACAGGTCATGCTTAAGTATTTGCAAGAAAATAGAAATTATTCCATGCATATTATCTGACCACAATGCAATGAAACTGGAAATAAATAACAAAAGCAACCAAAAAACCCCAGCAAATACATGGAAATTAAACAACACCCTACTCAGCAATCAATGGGTTACAGATGAAATTAAACAAGAAAT